AGCATTTATGTTAACCCTTTCCTCTCTGGTGTATTGATTTAAAAAACAAGCTCAGAACATGGATCTTGAGTGTTTTAGCTTTCAAATTATATATAGTTTATGATAGTTGATTGAAATTTTTTTAAAGCAAAGGTAATTAAAAGCACAGACACGCCTAAGGTGCGGGTTAACAGGACTGAAACAATGACTTCATGAGCAACTTCATTTTGTGTCATGGACTCCTGAAAGCATAACATTTGTTTCTTAAAGACATAAGTTGTACATTGACATTGCTTTTCATTAATATAATATTAGAATTATTATAACAACAATTAGCTGTTTTTTTTTAGCTGAAACAATTAGCTGTTTCTTATTATATGAATTTGATGAATTATGAAGCTTCACCCAACGGTTCTGTGTATCACTGAGCAACACCCTTAGCAACATAAGCAATCAATAATATAATAATAATAATTAATAATAATTTATGTATGTAATTATAATAATAATATAGCATCAAAACTTTCATTTATGTATTTCGACAGAATTAACTTTGTTATTTATTTAATGAAGTATGAGTGACCCCTGCTGGCGTTAAGTTGCATCTTTCATCTTTAATTTTGAGACCCCGCCCTTCCCCCCGTCTAATAAATGCTTCTCATGTGGAGATGTGTTGATTTGTGTGCGCGTCTGTGTGGAAGCCTACAGTTTATAAAGTGAAGAGGGAATATTACTGAATTTATTAGTTTTCAGGTATATCAGGTTTCAGGTATGATTCTGTATGTCCATCAGTTTACACTGTAATGACGCTTGCAAACTCGCGCTGTGCCGCGAATCGGTCTGTTTTCAAACTAAAAGACGGAAAACGGACGTTTTCTCATGCTGAGAGATAAGCAGATGTGTGTGTGAGAAAATATCATATATGGTGTTAAAAAATAAATGACACAGCGAATGATAAGAGCTCCTATTGTCTGTTTTTATTTAATCTCCATTAGATGAGGCATGTTCAGAACATTCTATTGCCGTTTACTGTTGCTGTCAGGAACTATTTTTAGCGGAAGGACAGTATTTAACGAACTTGCTTCAAAAAAGTAACATTTCAATACATACATTTTTGGTTTTAATATTTTTTATTGTGTGGTAACCGTTTTATAAAAGCAATAAGGTACTCGAGGCCGTGCTGCATCGTGAATAAATCACGGCTGAAGGGCGTTTTTAGGCACGTCGAAGCGAAGCCACATGGCCTCTCATACCTTATTGCTTAATTATATTATATTATATTTATTATATTATATTATATTATATTATACTTGCTGTGGAATGTGTCGCTACCATAGACTGTATAAAAACAGGTCGCTACGCTATCGATTTTAGATGCAGGAAAAACTTCATTTCCCATGATGCTCTGTGCTCGTATCCAGTGACGCGTTTGCTAGCAGACGGAAGGCTAGTGCTGTACACAAACAACTCCAGAGGTTTTCAAGAGGGAATAATTCATATTTCATTCACTACAGGGATGCAATGTAAGTTGCAATTCATTACTGATATTCATTGTTGTGTTTTGTATTACATAGGTCAGTTTTATGGTTCGTTAATTCCAAAAAGCAACAATTTGAGATGGCCAAGTAGTCGGTGATTAGATTTTTGTAGAGACTTAATTTGTTTACACTCATCATGTGTTATGAGATTGAATGACAGTACAGTATCAGCATCATTTTCTGATCTCATCTTGGTACATACTGTTGTTAGTGTATCGTTATTTTTAGTATCTGACATTACATAATGCTTTAATGTTGCTGGTAAACGTGTTACTGTCATTCTGTACAATACATCTCACTTTTGATTCGATCAAATCAATAAGGAACAATGGGTTAAGTATTATTACTGCTATTTTTTTATCATTATTTTATTGTTTATATTCTATTATTTTTGTAATATTGTTTTTTATTTTTAATTACAATGTATATTTTGTCTTAAATCCTAATAAATGTATTTATTTATTTATAATTTAAATCAAGAAATCTTTATGAATCTTTAAGAAATGTTAAAAATGTTTCTTTCAGACTGCAAAAGTAGAAGCTGAAAGAGGGAAAAACTCTCTCAGCCAAAGACGGTTCTTGCAGCCATGGCTTCTGAACTCCATGAAGCGATTTTTATGGCCAAGCGAGAGCGACACAAGAATCTTTTCCTGAACTACAGAAACCTCAACATTTTCCCTGTGGAGCTCCTCAGAGATGAAGGGATGCAGTTCCTGGAGCGTCTCTTCATGAAGAGAAACTCCCTCACAACACTTGTAAGATCTCAGTCCCAGTGCTGTTAGTCTTCATTTTTGCTTTGGCCCTGTATTGAAATATTATAAATATATTTTGCATCCTAATACTGTTTTCCTCCTGTCAGCCAGAGAACCTGGCTCAGAAACTTCCCAACTTGATAGAATTGTGAGTATTAATCTTTGTTATACTCTTCAGTCTTCTTGGTGTTATGACAATGTTATGTTAGTTGTCAGTGTGTTGTAATATTACTGTTCAATAGGACGTTTTCTTACCCACCCATAAACAATAGCTATATGATGTAAATTGGTCAAATCTGAGTTTGTTAAAATATAATTATTTGTACTACACCTGATGAAAAACAAGATTATGAAACAGTCCTGCAATCTATTTTTTGTTTCATTTAGGTACCTGCACTCAAACAATATTGTGATAATTCCTCAAGGTAACGTTATCTCGTGATTATACAGTATATAGCAATATTTCGATGTCAGGCACCTTATGCATTACATGATACATAATGTTGTTTTCCAGCAATTGGCAATCTAGCGAAGCTGCAGTCACTGGACCTGAGTGACAACGCTCTTCAGGTCATCTGTCCAGAGATCGGTCAACTGCGCTCATTACGACATCTGCGATTGGCCAACAATCAACTGAAATTCCTCCCGCAAGGTGAGTCGCAAACATTTATCAACATTAATCCAAAAAACTGAGAATGTTTGAGCTGTTGCTACTGATTATAGTGATTATCAATTCTGATGTGCACAGAAAAGCCTAATAATAAACAAAAAATAAAACAAAAAAAGAATTGCTGAATATTTGTTTTTATTGCTTTACCATGCTTAAGAACATTAAAAAATAATATTTCGGATTGAATATAAATAATTACATGCTACATGCTGCAATTAAAACAGAAAATAATTTTGCTTTATCTGTACATGCTTTTATAAACCGGATATATTCCAGTCGCTGAAGGAACTCTCTGTAGTTCGAACTGAATTATTTGCAGAAGATTGTGAAAAATGAGAGTGGAATATGAATGCAGTGCTGCCTTCCTGCAACAGTGTAATTAATAATGTTTCTCGTTAAACAGCCCGTTTAATTCATAGACATTATCTGTAACATTTTTCCCCCTGTGTAATTAAGCAGCTTTAACTGCATCAAATAATGTCTCACTCAAAAGCCGAGTATGAGGAAACTGCATGAGCAGAAGCTTTTAAACCTGCAGTTATTAAACTTCATTCAGCGAAGAAACTTTGATTTTTGTGCTCAATGTTTCTGAGGAGTAAAACTTCATAAAGAGACTCTGGGGAAATCATTAAGCTCTTTGACACTCTCTTTAAATGCTTTGCTTCAAAACACACTGTTGTTTTATATCAGTCTTTTTATTGCTCTTTCCAATTTTAATTGGGCAGTGTTTCATCTGAAGCCGAGACTGTTCATGGCTTTAATTTATCATATGCGAGTTATTCCAAACTAAGTGTTTTACAGTTAATTGTTCCACCAGTTTCAAGCATATTTAACTAGTGACATGCATTGCACACATGTGGGAAGGTGTGATTTTTTTAAATTTATTTTTAATTTTTTTGGGTTCCTTTTCAATGTCACATAAAGTACCAGCTCCTGTTTTTGCCAGCAGAGGGCATAAGGTGACTCCCTAGGGTTATAATATCTTGCTTTTACCTGATTGAAACTTGTATATGTGCTTGTATTGGTAGAACTGGGAGATCTCCGAGAGCTGGAGACTCTCGATGTGTCCGTGAACCTCCTGAGGACTCTTCCAGAGCGTCTGCACCAGTGTCTGTCCCTGCAGTGCCTGACAGCAGACCGCAACCTGCTGCACTGCCTTCCTCGCCTGCTCTGTCTGCTGCCCGACCTCAGTGAGCTCTCCATGGCTGCCAACTGCCTGACATCACTGCCCCTGGGTGAGAAGATATGACAGTGCTGTCAAGAAAGTTACCTTTACATGTATACAAAAGGTCAAGGTTTTAGGGGTCAGTAAGAATTTTTATTTGCATGTTTGTTTTTAAAGAATTGAATACTTTTGTTCAACAAGAATTCATGAAGTTGAAAGTAAAGACATTTATTATGTAGCAAAAAATGGTAATCAAAATTGAATTAATCAATTCAAAATTGGTAATAATATGAAACGTTTCTTGAGGAGCAAATCGGCATATTAGAATGATTTCTGAAGGATAATGTGACACTGAAGAATGGAGTAATGATGCTGAAAATTCAGCTCTGATCACAGGAATAAATTACGTTTTAAAATATATTCAAATAAAAAAAAAGTTATTTTAAATTATAATAATATTTCACAAAATTTCTATCTTTACTGTATTTTTCATCAAATAAATGCAGCCTCGGTGAGCATAGGAGGCTTCTTTTAAAAACTTCTTTTTTTTAAATGCTACTGAAGTACTGATCCCAAACTTTTTGAAGGGATTCTGTGAAACCATATGACGGCTTTTTGTGAGGAACATACCAAAAGTGATTCATATTTGAGAGCTACACCTTTGAGAGAAAGGTTTTCTGTTCCTCGCTTTAGATGTCTTGGAATATATTGCACAAAAACCAGGTGAATTATTTGACATTGTTGCTGATATACTGATGTTTTATATTTCTGTCAGATCTGGGGCGCTGCATGGAGCTGCAGTTTGTCTTTGTGGACAACAACGCTCATCTGAAGGGACTTCCATCGTATCTTTATAACAAAGTCATCGGCTGCAGTGGGTGAGTGAGTGAGTTTGTTGTTGTTTGTTGTTGTCGTGAAATTTCAAACTTGACGTTTACAAAAATTACTATAAAGTAGAGCTGGTGATCCATTAAAAAATGAACTAATTAATTGCACATATTTCTGTAATTACTCATGATTAATCACATTTAGCATTTTAATTGTGTAATCATAAGTATATGATATCAATATGATAACAAATATGATAATATGATATATGACATATGATAACAATATGATCATATAAAATATGATAACAACCTTTAATTTAAGTCAACTCAAAACGATATTCACATAAACCAATTATAATAAATAGATGTCAGATTTAGCAGTGCAGCGTGTTTGTGTTTGGTGATGTTTTGATCTCTGTCTTTTTGAATGAAAACTGTCAGTTCATTGTCCCGCATTTTAAAGTTGATTTAAATTCACAGAAATTAACATTATTTTTCCCAGCTCATTCATAGGCCAGACATAAAGAAATAAATGTATTAAGTGCGAGAGAATTAGATTTTATTTTCTTTTATTGTTTTTATCTTTTGTCTCTATTTTTTTTTTTTTTATCAATTTATGTGACATTATGTCTAGAATAAATCTGAAATAGATGATTTAACACAATAATGAATCAGCATGCAACAAAGTGGAGCTCATTGAGATTCCTGTGAGCGACTGGACAAACAGTGCCACAGAAACTAGTGGAAAATGTGCGTAGACTCGGTCAGACTTTCCATCCATCTCAAAGTAAACAACATTGATTTTTTTTCACACATGTAACCCTGCAAGCAGAGCTCACTCTCCCCAGACAGACAACAAAACTCTTCAATATCTTTCAACCCTCTACATTGTGAGTAAATCACTCGCATATGCGACTAAATCTTACTCTGGGCGACTAAATAATGTCTAACATTAGCAATTGGCTAATAAATTCTTAGATTTTACACGCCAACGTCTATGTAATGTCCCCATTTAGATAGCTAAGTAAACGTGTGTGTGTGTGTGTGTGTAAAATAGTATATCAGTCTGGCGAGTAAACAAAAAAATTTTACTAGCCAATGGCGATTATATTGCCAAGGTGTGCGTAGAGGGTTGTCTTTTATAGTGCTATGCTATAGTAAATCTCCCAACTGGTTCTGTAAACTGTAAACTTGACTTGTTGACTTTTAAAACATTCTGCTGCTTTCACTGCGTATTTTCCCAAGAGAGATTCGCCGATCCCACAGCCGAGCAGATTCTGGGTGGAAAAATGCAAACTTTCCGACATTAGTATCAGTTGCTGATTTGGCAGTATACATAGCTTTTCATGGTAGTTGTGGCGAGTAAACAAAAAAATTTTACTAGCCAATGGCGATTATATTGCCAAGGTGTGCGTAGAGGGTTGTCTTTTATAGTGCTATGCTATAGTAAATCTCCCAACTGGTTCTGTAAACTGTAAACTTGACTTGTTGACTTTTAAAACATTCTGCTGCTTTCACTGCGTATTTTCCCAAGAGAGATTCGCCGATCCCACAGCCGAGCAGATTCTGGGTGGAAAAATGCAAACTTTCCGACATTAGTATCACAGTTGCTGATTTGGCAGTATACATAGCTTTTCATGGTAGTTGGTGTGGTTGTTTCCTGGCTTTTTTAACATGACTGTGTTCACTTGATGTTATTTATCTGTCTGCATGCACAGATGTGGTCTAGCTGCGCAGATCTCTGACTTGAAGCAGCTCTGTCTGACGCTGGGAGATGTGACTGTTCCTCTGCCCTCTGAAGTGAAGGCCATCGGCTCCGAGACTGACCGCGTGTTGCCTCTGGAGGAGCTGGCGTGCAGAGTCCTACATGCGGCCCACAGCTGGACCAGTAAGGGTAAGAGTCCCAAACAAACCCACAACAAAGCATCAGGTTCCTTCACATTCACCAGCCTAAATGTTCTCATGTTCTCCTGTCTTGCGTGCAGATGTGAGGTTCCTGACGCCGTTCCTGTTGCCTAAGAGTCTGCTGGATGTGGTCCGGTCGCCTCTGGGTCACTGTCACCGCTGTAGTCAGCCCATGTTCACCATCGTCTACCCTAAACTGTTTCCTCTCAGAGAGACCGCACTCGCAGGAGTGCACAAGAGGTGCTGATGCAAAATTCCCTTTTGTTTCCTCTTTGTCACTCTGTATCTAAAGTGTTTATATTCAACACTTCATTTTATCCACTTATAATGTTATTCAATTATTATATATAACATTTCTTAACACACTTTTCTTTTCCATCCTCTATCTGACTCTTTGATCAAGCATCACCTTAGACTTGAGTTTAATGATAGCATTAATATCTGTTTTAAGCAAAGATCAAGGAAAATCATATTTTCTATCATACACTACCATTCAAAAGTTTGAAGTCAGTAAGATTTTGTAAAGAAATTAATACTTTTATTCAGCAAGGATGAGTTAAATTGATCAAAAGTGACAGTTGATACATTTATGATGTTATTTTATGATTTATGATGTGCTTCTTTTGAGATTTCTATTCAAAGAATCCCAAAAATAAATTTCACCGTTTCTACAAAAATATTAAGCAGCACAGTGGTTTTCAACATTAATAATCACCAAATTCTGAAGGATCATGTGACACTGAAGACTGGAGTAAAGCTGAAAATTTAGCTTTGCATCACAGAAATAAAATACATTTTAAAATATATTACAATAGAAAACAGTTATTTTAAATTGTAATAATATTTCACAATATTACCGTTTTTACTGTATTTCTGATCAAATGAATTTAGCCTTGATGAGCAATAAGAGACTGTTTTTTTTTTTTTATATCTTACTTGAACAGTAGTGTATGTCCCCTTTAAATGCACATGCATTCTGGGATTGACCTACTCATATTGTTATGTGCATATTCATTTACAAAAACATCCTCACTTCCACACATTCAACTTTTCTTACATTCAGAAAAATTCTCTCCTGCTTTCTGTCTCCTCTCATTCTCTCTCTCACGATGTTTTCTCTGACCCCTGTCACTTCCTCTATCTCCTCATCTTCCTGTGCATTTGATTGGTTGAAATGAGCAGCGCTTGCTCCGCTGCCCGTCATGTTCCATCTGTAATGCAACGCTGTGGTTTTGGTATCAACATCCAGCAGCGTAACCCAATCATCCTGCTCGACTGCTGCTCTCAGCTACTTCACGTGCATTAAGAGATCTAATCCACTCGCCAATTACCTCTTACCCTGAGTGTTCGGCTGATGTTTGGAGATGAGTGGTGCTCGGTTCATGTGTGCGAGCGAGAGAAAGGCGATTTGTTTAAGGAATTCTTTAACATTTGCTTCTTTCACTCCTGTAATACTCTCTGTTTTCAGTCTCAGGTCGTGTGTGTGTGTGTGTGTGTGTGTGTGTGGTGAACTCA